CTCAGAAACAAACAAGGTATTTAGAAGCAAAGTACTATCATTGCTTCTAAGAGAGACAACAGGATGCATTCCTTACCTCAGGAATTAGCATCTGTTTAGTGTCAGGATGGGTTCCTTCAAGAGGGAAAAAAAACAAAACAAAATGAGAATTAAAGAGTAAATGGTAAACAAGAGCCAGGAACTTAACAAGTGTAACAATACCAAGAGTGATTAAGAGCAAAAGTGAACACCTACCTTTGCCTAACTTTGAAGTCAGACCTCTAACTTTATCATATGAATAACCCTGATGTCAAAGAGTTCTTTGTGTGTGTCTCTCTCCCTTTAGAACACCCACATTCTGTTAGTGTGCTTCTGCCTTTCTGCTTGTCTGTCTGTCTACTTTTTTGTCTTTTTTGTCTGCTTGCCTGCTTGCTTGCTTACTTAATAAAGCTCTGCCAAGTTTTCTTACCATTATGACTTGTCCAGAAATTCTTACTCCACAATCAAAGTCAAGGACATGTGTAAGTGGAGAGTCTCAACCTTTAGAAGAAAACTTCACAAACCCTCACCTGGATCAGGTGAGAATCCCAAATCCTAGACTTAAATTATATTTAAATTATAATTGAAAGGCGCTTGTACTGATATGAGCTCTTGTTAGCCCAAAGAGCTCCCTTCCCATGGCTTCGTGTTAGGACCAGTTTAGCCAAAGTAACTCTATTTTGTATAAGCAGCCATTCAGTTTGTAAAGTATAAGTATGAGCTGACCTTGTCCGCATCTGTTGTTTGTGCAGTAAGAGCAAGCCGACCCTGTCTGTAAGAAAAGAAAAACAATTTCCAAAAAACAGCCAAAAAGCAAGGTCGAGACAGGCCAGGTGGAGGTGTCCAATCAGTAAAAAGCACATATGTAACCCTTCTGTTTTAACCAGTAAGAGTAAGATTAGCTACATGCTTAAGGTTAGTTTATAATTTGTGGTTTTGCCCCATAAAAGCTAGCCTGTAAGACTAGGTGTCCTTGCTCTCTCCATAGACAGACAGTCCTGACCAGTTAGTTTAATTCTCTTGCTTGGCTGAAATAAAAGCTTTGCTTAACTTTTATTTTGTGTCAGCCTTTGGTCACGAATTGTATCATTAGTTCGCCCCTTCCCCTTTCCACAGTTTAGCCTGCTCTCTTCCTAGGCAAATGCTAGGTAGGCCCACATAGTAAAGGCAGTAAATAATCAAGCAGTAAAATAATCAGCTACCAACTCCCTTTACCTTGAGATGGCACTTCTTTGGGGCAGCTACCAACATATAAGGCAACAAGAGCCCCTCAGAGTGACCTTCAGGTCTGGGCAGCTGCAAGGCCCCTTATCTACTATTTGGACAGCAGCCATAAATCCTAGTCCACCTTGAGAAGGTGTCTTCCCGGCTTCTTTCCCATCAATAAATCTTTCTTTGTTCTCTGTACCTGGCTGTCTGCCTGGTTTTCTGGCAAAGTCTAAAATAATATAACAGCTCCTGTCAAGATAGCAGAAAACCTGGGCTAACTGGCAACCTGAATGTTTCATGCTCTCTTCATTACAAATAACTCATCAGCATAAGGGAGCCTTCTTCCTATGCCCCACATTCTAAATTACGTCCCAAAGGACATTATGGATTTTGTTTGATGCTATAACTGGCAAAACAAAATAAGCATGAAAGAGGAGCTAAAATTTATCAGAACACTGCTGAGAGAAGAGGAATAAGAAGGGCTAAGAAAGGTGGAAAGCTAAATAAAAGTGCCCCTTATAGGCAGAGAGCAGGCAGACTCAGTGTTAGCAAAATGAGCTTTCTTCCCATAGCTTAGTCCACTCCTTCCCTTCCCCACAGCTTAGCATGCTCCCTGCCTAGGCAACACTAGGCCCGGGTTGTAAAGGCAGTAAATAATCAACTTCCAACCCCTTTACCTTGGGATGTCATTTCTCTAGGGCAGCTACCACCATATAAAGCAACAAGAACCCCTTAGAGTGACCTTCAGGTCTGGGCAGCTGCAGGACCCCTTATCTACTACTTGGGCAGCAGCCATAAATTCTAGTCTACCATGATGAAGCCCCTGGCCCACACATCCACGCTGGGGTCTCTGCCTCCTAGCCCCTTCTAGCCCCTCCTAAACCTCCTAGGTTATAGAAGTCACCTCAGACAATAGCTGGTGCTTCTTCTCACTTCTCCCTTGTGAGAAGGGGTCTTGTGGCCCCTTCCTGGCAATAAATCTTTCTTTGTTCTCTGTACCTGGATGTCTGCGTGGTTTGCTGGCAAAGTCTAATAATCTTTCACTCAGGAAGATGGACTCCTTGCTCTTTGTGTTTTTCCAAGAAAACATTCCCAGCAAGATACAAAATACAGTGAAAGGAAGAGCAAAGTTAGGAATAGTAACTATGTATATTTTTATTTGGGTCCTGTGGGAGAGAAAGTCAGTAAGAGATTTTTCTGTTTCCAGCTTTCTAGCAGTTTAAGGGGAAGGTTTTACTCAACTGCTGAGCTTGCTGCCTCCTTCCTGTGAGTGTGGACGAAAACAACAGACGTAGAGGTACCAGAGTTGGCTGGGAATGTCTTCTTAGTGGAGCCTACCTGTGCACTGAACCAGACATGAGCACCATAGAACTAGTCAAGTGCGGCATTCAGAGGCCCAGGGTAGACACAGCTCATTGGCCCACAGTTTCTCTTCCTCTTCCTTCCCCGCCCTCCTGGGTGGAGTTTAGGTGCGCAGTGCTGGGGGATCACTTAGGGACACTGGCTTCCTAGCATGCCTTTTCCCTCCTATCTATCTTCCTTGGTTTCCGAAAGTGCACTGAACAGTTGAAGCAGGACAGAGTTTGGGAACCTGGAGAAGAAAGGCACTGAAGTTTGGGTGAGTTTAATTATTTGTCAGGCCAGCTGCTCTGAAGGAAGAGGGAGCCCAGCCCACAGACTTCCTGCTGAGAGGGCAGACAGCAGTGCCTGTGGATGTGAGGCCTAGGGAAAAGAGAGGGTTAAAGGTGGCCAAAGGCTGCTTCCTGAAGGGACAGTTAAAGTTACCTCCCCTGATGCTGTCTGCCTCCTCATCTGTCATTCGAATTTGTTCCTTAGTAAAAGGTACCAGAGCAGTCTCTTTCCCAGAAACAGATCATCCCTTCCAGCAGCAAACCTGGGCCTAGCCAGGCCCAAAGGATCTTTGGAAAGGCATGCAGGAAACACAGCCTTATCTAGGAAATTTATTACAGGTGGTGGTGAAGACCAATCTGTCAAATAAATAATCACATAAATGAAATTCAGGGAAATTTCAAAATCAGAGGTTTTTAATTCCTGCTCAGTGTCAGTCCAGGTTTAAAAATCAGTTCTGTTTAAATTGCTAGAGAAATTGTTAAATGTTTCCCTGGCCTTGCTCTTGTGAAAATGTGCATCTCCCCCCAGAAAGCAAATGGTGCTCTAAGAGCAAAGCTGAAATCAGTGTCCTTCATGTAAGTGATGTGAAACTTAGATTTGTCTTTTGGGGAAGTTGGGTAGCCTTTGTGGGAGGACCCACACTGCTCCCCATAAACAGCAAGAAAGAAGATGTAGTTTATGGTGAGAAGTAAGAAGGTGTGCAGTAGAAATTTTGTGATGGTCATGTGACTAGTCCATGCAGTCTAGTTATGGATGCTTGGACTTACTGTACCTAGGGTGTAGGTAAGTGAGTAACTTCAGTGCTGAGGACTTGGATAGCAAAGGTCTACTATCCATGTACTGCTTTTATGCTGTCCTGATTACTGATAACACGGAGGAGCTAGATAGACTTGTCTGCCTGCCTATCTGTCTATTCTAATCTATCTACCTCCTCCAGGCTTAAAGTCTAAGCCAAGCTTGTTTGCTCTGTTTTTGACTCACAACTGGCCCTATTGTGGTGGAGCCTTTTCTCCTGTCTTTGCTGATTACTTAGAGATAAAGTCTTGAAGATTTTTATGCCTGGGTGGGCTGGTTTCTGAATGTGATCCTTAGATGTCAGCTTACAGGCAGGATCAACCTGAGCCTGACTTGATACTCTGCTGTATAACAGAGTATAATAAAGCCCATGGCTGACTCTACTCCCACTGAATCTACTTCTCCAGCTTTTTGCTGGTTATTTTGTAAGCAGAAACTCCCAAATTTTCTTGCCAGGACTGAATTCCAACCATGAACCTCTAGTCTCAGCCTTCTAACAATTCAGTCCCTTTATTTGATAGTGGGCCTGTTGAGGTTTTACTCTTCCTAGTTCTTTTTTTTTTTTGCCAGTCCTGGGGCTTGAACTCAGGGCCTGGGTGCTGTCCCTGAGCTTCTTTTGCTCTAGGCTAGCACTCTACCACTTGAGCCACAGCACCACTTCTGACTTTTTCTGTGAATGTGGTACTGTAGAATCAAACCCAGGGCTTCATGCATGCAAAGCAAGCACTCTACCACTAAGCCACATTCCCAGTCCCCTAGTTCATTTTTTTAAATATGTATTTTAACGGAATCTATCCATTTCCTCTATGTCCCTTATAATCCCTGTGTCTGCTTTTGAGTCTTCTCTTTCCTTCTCTTCTTCCTTCCTTCCTTCCTTTCTTTCTTTCCTTCTTTCTCTTTCTTTTCTACTTAAAAAATTGAGTTTTGCTTAAAAGGAAATTTTGTTGACTAAATTGTCCTATGATCTTTCTTTTGTCTGATTGAAGTCTTTTTATTTCCTTTTTCATTTTTATGTAAGGACTAGACTTTGTCTGGGGCTTTGCACTCTTACTTGGCTTTTTTCAGCTCACCTGGCATTCTACTATTTGAGTCACATCTCTAGCCCTATCTGATGTGTTTCTATTCTGGTTTTTGTCAGATTTTTCTTCTACTGATATTTGGTTCATCTTTTTTCTAGTTCATTTTACACAGGGGGTGCCATTTTTAATCCCCCTTCCAAAGACTTTCTCTCCTAACTTCTTTTTGCTTTATAATCAGTGTTTTAATTTGCATTTAAAACAATCCTTAGAAAACCTTTTAACTAAAGTTTCTCTTTAAAATTTTATTGTTATTATAAAGGTGATCTACAGAGGGGTTACAGTCTCATAAGTCAGGTAAAGAGTACATTTCTTTTTGCTTATGTGGTGCTGAGGAATCAAACTCAGGGCCTCAGGCATGCAAGGCAAGTGCTCTACCACTGAGCCACCTTCCCAGCCCATAAAGTTTCTCTTTAATACAGTGTAACAATCCTTTGAGACATATGGTTACTCCAAAATCTGATGTCTTTCTTTGTAGTCTAAGCTTAAACCCACCCATTTACCTTATTTGTAGTTTAAGTTTAAACCCACCTATTTTTTCTCACACTATATTGACAATTTTTTATCTTGAACATGTTCACACACACACACACACACACACACTTGTAAACAAAGATTTTAAAGCATGCAAAATTAAATATTGGCCACACATTTTCTGGAATTAAATATTTTACAGTTAACCAAGACCTGAGACAAAACTTTTTAACACATCACCTTAGCATCCCCCAGCCCCATTTTTCCAAGGCTTGCTTGTGTTAGCAAGGTACATTAACTAGATACATTTTCAATTGACCTTTGAATACCTTCAGTTGGAGGAAGGTTGGATGGGGGTCACTGAAGCTAAATGTTTAGTCCACCAGGTTGCCTGCCTCTTGTCTTTTACTCAATACTAACTTGAGCACTTTACATACCAATTTACACTGAGCCCAAGATGAACCTAGGGTCAGACTGAAGCTGCCTATGCCCTGACTCCAACTGCCTTGCTGAGCAGGCTGCAGCTTCAGCCAGATTGCTAAAACTCTGACTTCCTCCCATAGAGACACCGAAAACAAGGATTCACATTACAAACTGGTACCAATCTTAAGAAAACAGAAGATAGGACAAAGACAGACAAAACTGAAGGCTGAGTTGGGGCCTAGTGGGCCCCCAGCTTAGCTGTAACCAGATCTCTCTACTGTATGAGAGCATGCTGAGCAGGCCCTGACCCACACATCTCCCACCTCAGATCCTACAGAAACCTCTACAGGATGAGAGTCTGCTGAGTGGGCCCCTCCCACTCAGCAACCTCAACAGCACCTATTCTCATGTACAATAGGGAAGAAGGCAGGTCTCCAGCATGCTCCCCTTACCATTCCATTTCCAGACAGATCAATCCCCAGAAAATAGAAAAACAGACCAACAGAGGCCAACTCTGGAGGTCTCCCAACTCCAAAAATATTTATATGGCATATCTGGTGTCTATGAGCTGATTGTCAGAGCAGCAGAAAGACCATGGATCCCTGAGACATCTCAGGGAGTACCTCCCCTGTGGGAGTTCCCATTCTGTGGCAGCCAGCTTGCAGGGACCCAAGCACACTCTTTGGCACTGGGGATCTTGCTGATTGGGATCCTGGATGAGACTCCAAATGTAGGAGTCTTTATTGGAAAGCCAGTGATTACAAGTAGACTCTTGTCACAAAGCCCTGAAGCCCCATGAATACACTTAACACTGGTAGAAAGCAAAGCCAGGACCGTAGTAAAGCAAAATAAAGAGAGCAGAAAAATAATACCAACAAACCAAATCAACTCCAATTGCGAGCTGAAGTGGGATGTCATGGTTATCAGAGGAGAAACAGGAGACACTAGACTTGAGGCATGGTGTAATGGCCCTTGAACTAGTCTGGGCCTAAATAGTATCAGGGTTGGGGGCAGGGTCAAAAGAAATTCAAGAGTCTTACATGTTCAAAGCACAGGACTGACAAGTTCAGTAGCCTGTTCCTGCCTCTAGGAATCCAGGCACACCCAACACCTGGGAAGTGGGACTTTACGTTCCTCCACAATGAAGACCAGATGGTGCCAGTTAAACCCTATCAACCACCATGTGGCCAAGATGGCACCAGTTATATCCAGCATCCCCCCCCCTTCATTCCCCACTGGTTTTATGCACATGAAATCAAAACACTGATTTCTCAGTGAGAGAGCTGTATTGGACTTTTAGGACCATGAGCCTGACCAAGTTACTTTAACCAAAGTTTCAGGGAAGGAGTTGACAGATGTGTGACACAAAAGTCTTAGTTTCAGCAGATCTGACAGTGGCCTTTCACCAGAAGTCAGCCATGTGTGTTGGAGCCAGGCAGGGGTCCCATCTACTTTCACCATGGTGGGGATGGTCAGAATGATGACAAAGAGTCCCTTGCAGATGGCTGCCAGCTGTCCTTGATAAACTATTTAACATAAACAACCTCTATGTTGGAAAGGATGGGCTGGACCCAGGCTGGGAGCAGCAGTGTCTCCGGCAGCATCGTTCAGACCAATTGCACACCTCTTGCTGGGTTGCCTGCAGGTTAATCTAAGGCAGAAACCTGGTTTTAATGAAATCTCCCAATATTTTTTTGGCTGCTTCCTGAGTACATAGGCCTGGCAGGCTGGGGCCCCATTGGTTTTTCAGGACAGCTTCTTACTACAGAATTCCCTTTTGATACCTGGGATAATGTACCAGCGTGACCATTTTTTTAAACTATACTTCCTCCAATAAGGCTAGGATTTGCTCACACATAGAAGGCTTGGGCCTGTAACACTATTTTTCTATGCCTATTCCTCTAATTTATCCTGCCTCATCTTTCCAAAAATGACTTTGGTCCCTTGATCTTAAGGGGCAGTTGATGGGTGAAGATCTATCTTCTATAACTTCTTCAAGGTGACTCAGGGGAACTGGCCCTGCCTATTTTACCAAGGGGTTGCCAAGATCGGATGTCATTAGGAGTAGTGGGACACCATGCCTTGATTCTTGTGTTTCCTGTCTCCTGGGAGACATGGCATTCCACGTCAGTTAAACAAGGCTTTCGCTTGTCAGGGGGGAGGGGGTACTCCTGCTATGGTCCTGAGGCTTGAACTCAGATCAAGATCTTGTGCTGTCCAAGAACTTTGCTCAAGGCTGATCTACTTCTTGAACCACAGCTCCAGCTCCAGTCCCAGGTTTTTATTGGCTAGTTGGGTATAAGACAAATGGACTTTTCTTCAAACCTTTTTTTTTTCCATTTTTTTTTTTGTCAGTATTGGGGTCTGAACTCTGGGCCTAGACTCTGTCCCTCAGCTCTTCAGCTGAAGACTAGCACTCTACCACTTGAGCCACAGCACTACTTCTGGCTTTTTCTGCTTACGTGGTGCTGAGGAATGGAACCCAGGGCTGCATGCACGCAAGGCAAACACTCTACCACTCAGCCACTTTCCCAGCCCCTGGCTTCAAATCTTGATCCCCAAATTTCAACTTCCTGAGTAGATAGAATATAGGCTTGAGCCACTGGCGCCTGACAATTTATTTTTATTTTTTTGTCAGTCATGGGGGCTGAACTCTGGGCCTGGGCCCTGTCCCTTAGCTCTTCAGCTCAAGGCTAGTGCTCTACTACTTGAGTCACAGCGCCACTTCTGGTTTTTTTTCTGCCTATGTGGTGCTGAGGAATCAAACCCAGGGCCTCATTCATGCGAGGGAAGAACTCTACCACTGAGCCAACTTCCCAGCCCTGACAATTTAATTATAGGTCTATTTCTAATGTTTAGTAAACTAAGGAAAAGGCAGCCATTACATATAGGAAATTTATAATATGTATAGCATGAACTAGTAGTAAAGTATTTAAAATTATTAAAAGAAGTATTTAAAAATTTGTTTTACCATGTCACCAAACATTGTAAATGTTCTTTCTGTTTTCTTTTCCGTGTGTGTGTGTGTGTGTGTGTGTGTGTGTATGTGTATGTGTGTGCTGATACTGGGGCTTGAAGTCAGGACCTTGCACTATTATTTGGCATTTTCACTTAAAGCTAATCCTCTACCACTTGAGTATTATATCTACTTCCAGCTTTCTGCCGATTAATTGGAAATAAATATATCTAAGGATTGTTGTACCTTGGCTAGCTTCAAACTATGAGTCTCAGAATCTAGCCTCCTGTATAGATAATATCAGAAGTGTAAGCCTCACAGCTCCTTTTTCTTCTGCTGCTTTCAATATTTTAGTTTTGACCCACCCATGATTGGCCTAACTTTCTAATTTTCTCCCTTATTATCTTGCCAATCATGCAGGAATCTCCGTAGAAGGAATCTCAGAAGTCAAGAAAAACAGTGACAGAAAAACAGACATCAATGGCTTTAGCAGTCTTGACCAACATAAAGGAAGAGGTGACCTGCCCCATCTGTCTGGAGCTCATGATAGAACCCATGAGCATAGACTGTGGACACAGCTTCTGCCAAGCCTGTATCACATCAAATGATGATTCTACCATAGGCCCAAGAGGGGAGACCAACTGTCCTGTGTGTCGAATCCCTTACACCGTTGAGAACCTCCGGCCTAATAGACATGTGGCCAACATAGTGCACAGTCTCAAGGAGGCTAGGTTGATCCTAGAGGAAGAGAATGTGCATCACTGCGCAGAGCATGGTGTGAAACTCCAGCTTTTCTGTAAGGATGATGGGAAGGTGATTTGCTGGCTTTGTGAGAGATCTTTACAGCACCGTGGTCACCACACATACCTCTTAGAGGAGGTTGCCCAGGAGTACCAGGTAAGAAATTGGAGATGAGAGAGGACAGAGCACAAAATAGTCCTGGAGGGAAATCTCCACTGAGCCGGCATTCATTGCAGTTATATACCTCACTATCCTAGAACTGAGAAGTGTGACTCATTTCCACTCTGTGGAGACTTTCTCAGGCCTAAAGCACATACCTGTGCAATCCATTGACTTACAAGAAAATGAGCCTAAGTATAAACTCTTGGTAGCAGCAAATATTTCTCTACTATATCCTCAGTAGATTGAGATTTGGTGACCAACAAAGTTCCTTTTAGTGGAGCAGCAAATGAAATGAATTGAGATGTAGATTATTTTCCCTGATGCAGGACCAAAATCCTCTTCTTTTACAAAAAGAATCCATTTATCTAGGTGCTAATAGCTCATGCCTACAAAATAGCTACTCAGGAGCCTGAGATGTGAGAATCACCATATCCATGATACTCTTAGTTCCATTGAATCAGCAAAAAGCTGGAAGTAAAGGGGTGGCTCATGTGGTTAGAAGACCAGCTTTGAGCAGGGGGACCAAGGGGAAAGCTAAGCCAGAGCAAGAATCCCTGAGTTCAAACTCCTAGACTGGCACAAAACAAAACAACAACAACACAGAATCAGTCTAGCTGGGGGTGATTACTTGCCTGTAGCCTATGGAGACTGAAGCAGGAAGATTCAGAGTTTTAGGCCAGCCTGGGCTACAAAGAGAGGTTGAGGCCAACTGGGGGCTACCTAGTGAAACTGTCTCAAAACTGTCTCAAGCAAACTGAAAGGATCATTCTGTTGTTGGTAAGAGGATTGTTATTCATTACCTTAGACAGACTTAAAGAAGACTTTTGCCACCTCACTTTTTCTTCTTTAGGTAAACGCTAGTCTCTACCTGATTTCTTCCAGGTGACCCCTTATCTAGAAGCCGAGAAAGTTCATACAGTAACTCTACTGTGGTTCCTTTCTTGTTCACAGAACAAGCTCCTGGTAGCTGTGAAGAAGATGAAGAAGAAGAAGGAAGAATCTGAGAAGTGGAAAGCTGAACTCCAAGAAGAGAAAATTTTATGGAAGGCAGGAAAGACACTTCCTGAGGGAATTAGCCAAAAGTCTGGGTGGGACATTTGGGAGGAGCTCCCTTCCTCTCTATTCCCAGAGAGTTGATAAGGCCCAAAGTCATTTGATTAGTCTTCTTCTTCCTTTCCCATGTGGGGTGGGGGCTGCAGAGTGAGGAAGTAGAAATGAGTCCCTCATTTTTGAGGGAGCTGGACACAAGGAAGACCTCTGGTGAGAATGGCTGCTTGATCCTGTGCTCCATTCCTATGACTGATATTTGGCAGGGGATTATGCCTCTGTCTTCAGTTCAGGAATGGAATAAGAGTAACACCTGTAGTTAGTTGAAGAGTCCTGGACACAGGGTAACTCTGGGAGAGCTAAGTCACACCCAAGCTTCCCATTTATGTCTTAGACTTGGTAGGCCTTAATAATATTGATTGAAAGTTCCTGGTTTGAAATGTCACTAAGGGAAAGCAATTCCCAGGGAGTCTCCAGACTTAGCTGATAAACTGAGTGTCTCACTCTTTCTCTACCTTGAAGAAGCACATACAGGTCAAGAGAGAAAACGTTTGGGCAAAGTTTGAAAAACTGAGAGGCATCTTGGCTTCGGAGGAGGCAAAAGAGCTGCAAAGGCTGAAAGAAGATGATGAAAATGTTTTGAATAGTCTGGAAAAGTCTGAAAATGAACTGGCCCAGAGAAATGAGTTGGTAACAGAGCTCATCTCAGAGCTAGAGCATCGGTTACATGGATCAAGGATGGAGATGCTGCAGGTAAGTCATTAAAATAGTCGGAGATTTGGGGGAAATATATAACTCATGCTTTATCTGTTGCTATGTTTGTTCTAAAGAAGACTGTAAATTCTCGGGTCATTTTCAGATGTTATGGGAATAATGAATATACATTTCAAAAAAGAAAACAACCTCATGTTTAGTAACTTCTCAAGTTCAGGAAAAATGCTGAATCTTGGAAGATATATCCAGCAATAGGTTCTTGTTCTCTGTAATCTAGTATTAAGCATTTATAAAACACTCTGTGTGTGTGTGTGTGTGTGTGTGTGTGTGTGTGTGTGTGTGTGCGCGCGTGCGTGCGCATGCTCGCGCATGCACGTGCACTAGTACTGGGGCTTGAATTCAAGGACTCTCCCTCTTGCTTTTCTCTTTTTTGGGGGGAGGGGCTCCTGTCATGGGGCTCGAACTCTGGGCCTGTGCACTGTCCCTGAGTTCTTCAGCTCAATGCTAATGTTCTACCACTGGAGCTACAACTTTACTTCTAGTTTGTTTGGAGTTTAATAGAGGTAGGAGTGTTATATCGACTTTTCTGCCCAGGTTAGCTTTGAACTGTGATCCTCAGATCACAGCCTCCTAAGAAGCAAGGATTATAGGCATTAGCTACTGGCACCCAGCTTTGCTCTTGCTTTGCTCTACTTCACTCAAAGCTGATGCACTATCACTTGAGCCACCTTTCTACTTCTTACTTTTTTTCTGATTAATGGGAGAAAAGAGACTGTTGGATTCAATTGCCTACTTTTTTTCTGATTAATTGGAGAAAAGAGACTGTTGGATTCAATTGCCCAGGCTGGCTCTGAACCTCAATCCTCAGTTCTCAGCCTCCTGAGTAGCTTGGATTATAGGCATGAACCTCAAGTCCCCTTTCATTATGTGTTGATTTGTAGACAGGTTATAAGAGACATTTTAACTTTTTCCCTTGTAGAATGTGTTGCCACTTTCCCCCTTCTTTCTTTTTTCCAAAAGTATTGTGAATGACTGGCATTATTTTTCCTCTAAATATACAGTATCACCCACCAATTCATCAGTCTATGTTTTTCTTTTTGGAGAGAGGTATAACTTTTAATTATTTTTACATGTATGACATTTATTTTGATTATCTTTCCTATGTCTGTTGTAGACAATATATGTCTGAATACAAACCTGTTAATGTCATTTAGTTGTTAAATATCTAAATTTAGTTAAGCCTTTATTTCTATTACTATAAAGACAGCTTGAAATCACTACTCAAAAGTGTTTATATTTATCACATGCAACCTGTTATTTTGAAATATGCACACATTGTGGAATGGGTAAATTAGTCTAATTAACATGTATTACCTCACCTTGCTAACATCTGTCTTTTTCTTTTTTTTTTTTGTCGGTCGTGGGGCTTGAACCCTGGGCCTGGGCGCTGTCCCTCAGCTCTTCAGCTCAAGGCGAGCGCTCTACCACTTGAGCTACAGCGCCACTTCCGGTTTTCTGGTGGTCTATTGGAGATCCGAGTCTCACGGTCTCTCCTGCCGGGGCTGGCTTTGAACCGCGATCCTCAGATCTCAGCCTCCTGAGTAGCTAGGATTATGTCTTTTTCTTTTATGATAATAGCTATACCATGAAATGTGAAGTTAAATCTCCATAATAGTTGAAATTTAGTTACTTTATACTTTACTAACCAATCACTGTGGGCCTTTAATAAAAAAATATGTCTCCAGGCTATTTTGTATTTCTTCCTCTTTTTCTTTTCTTCCTCCTCCTCCTCCTCCTTCTTCTTCTTTCCCTCTGCCTCTTCTTCTTTTGCCATTCTTCCTCCTCCTCTTTCTTCCTCTTTCTCTGCCTCCTCCTCTTTCTTTGCCTCCTCCTTCTTCTTTTTCTTCTGTCCTCCTTTTCCTCTTTTTCTTCTTTTTTTTTTTCAGTCATGAGCTTGAACTCCAGGCCTGGCCACTATCCCTCAGCTCTTCAGCTCAAGGCTAGCGCTCTACCACTTGAGCCACAGCACCACTTCTGGCTTCTTCTGCTTATGTGGTGCTGAGGAATTGAACCCAGGGCCTCATGCATGCAAGGCAAGCACTCTACCACTGAGCCACCTTTCCAGCCCCCTTCTTTTCCTCCTCCTCCTCCTCCTCTTACATCTCATTCTACTGCTTCTTGAGTGGAGGAGGGGTATTAAGAGTTTATACTCAGTGGTAGAGTGCTTGCCTCGCATGCATGTGGCCCTGGATTCAATTCCTCAGCACCACATAAGCAGAAAAAAGCTGAAGTGGCGCTGTGGCTCAAGTGGTAGAGCGCTAGCCTTGAGCTGAAGAGCTGAGGAACAGCGCCCAGCCCCGGAGTTCAGGCCCCACGACCGGCAAAAAAAAAAAAAAAGAGTTTATACTCAGCCTTGCACTTGGAGTCAGGGCTGTCCCACTTCAGTCACACTCTTTTCTCCTGTAGCTATTTTTCTGGTAGGGTCTTTTCTTTTCCCCAGGGTCATACTCAAGTCATTATCTTCTTACTTCAGGTAATTCTACCCCTAGCCCTCTTCATAGGTGATACCACAGGTGCATACCACCCACCATACCTAGCCTTTTTGTTTAGATGAGGTCTGCATTCCAACCATCAAGATCCTCTTAATTTGTACCTCTGAATAACTAGAATTAAAGGTTAAACACAAAGTCTTGTTTGTGTATCTTCTTTTAAGAAAATTCCACTGAGGTCCTTTATCCATTTTATGACAGGCAAATGCCTTGCAAGACCATAGTTTTTCCTAAAAATTGGAAAAGACTTTCTCCTTTTTTTTTTTGTGGGGCTTGAAATCTAGGCCTGGAAGCTGTCCCTCACTCAGCTCTTCAGCTCAAGACTAGCACACTACCACTTGAGCCACAGCACCACTTCCAGTTTTCTGGTGGTTAATTGGAGATAAGAGTCTCACAGCCTTTCCTGCCTGGGCTGGATTTGAATCATAATCCTCAGATCTCAGCTTCCTGAGTAGCTAGGATTACAGGCATGAGCCACTGGCACCCGGCTCTAGAATTTCTCCATTCTGATAGGTATATATCAGGAAAGCCACATGCCCTTCATTTATTAGGAATACTCAATATAGACAAAAAGAAATGCAATTTAGAAAAGGATATAGAAGAGATCCTAAGGATAAATTTAACCTTCCAAATTTGGCTATGATTGAAGTTGTATTTCCATCCCCTCAGTTTTATTTTGTTAGTTGTGGACCTTGAACTCAAGGCCTAGGTTCAGTCAATGAGCTTTTCTACTCAATGCCAGTGTTCATTACATTAAGCAACAGCTCTACTTCTGCTTTTCTAGTGGTTAATTGGCGACAAGATTCTCACAGACTTTCCTGCCCATGCTGACATTGAAACTTCATCCTTAGATCTCAGCCTCCTGAGTAGCTAGGATTGCAGGCGTGAGCCACCAGTGCCCAGTCCAAAATTCTTTTTTTTGTTGTTGTTGTTGGTTGTGGGGCTTGAACTCTGGGCCTGGGCTTTGTCCTTCAGCTCTTTAGCTCAGGCTAGCACTCTATCACTTGAGCACAGCACTGCTTTTGGTTTTCTAAGTGATTTATTGGAGATAAGAGTCTCACAGATTTTCCTGCCCTGTCTGGCTTTGAACTTGGCTTTGAACCATGATCCTCAGATCTCAGCCTCCTGAGTAGCTAAGATTATAGGCATGAGTCACTAGTACCTGGCCCAAAATTCTTTGAAGCATTGAATTCAGTTTTGTTTATTTTTTGTTATATGCAACACAAAAATGCAATTATAAAAATTAAAACTTGGGGGCTGAGAAATTGGCTCAGTGCTAGAGTGCTTGCCTCGCATGCATGAGGCTCTGGGTTCGATTCCTCAGTACCACATAAACAGAAAAAAGCCAGAAGTGGCACTGTGGCTCAAGTAGTAGGGCACTAGCCTTGAGTTGAAGAGCTGAGGGACAGTGCCCAGGCCCAGAGTTCAGGCCCCACGACCGACACAGAAAAAAAAAAATAGAACTTGGCTGGGAACGTGGCTTAGTGGTAGAGTGCTTGCCTAGCATGCATTAAGCCCTGGGTTCCATTCCTCAGTACCACATAATCAGAGAAAGCCAGAAGTGGTTCTGTGACTCAAGTGGTAGAGTGCTAGCTTTGATCAAAAGCTCAGGGACAGTGTCCAGCCCCTGAGTTCAAGCCCCAGGACTGGCAAAAGAAAGAAAAGAAAAAAATCAAAGCATGTGTGTGTTTGTGCACACACATGTATGCACATGTAGTGCAAACCAGATATTGACCTAGTTTTTTTTATTTAAGAAACCAAACACATAGTCATTTATCTGATCAAGTAAATAAGATGATAGTTGTGATGGTTAGACAAAAAAAAAAAATAGAAAGAGTAGATGGTTGGAAAAAAAATAAGGAAACAGCTGGGCGTCAGTAGCTCATGCCTGTAATCCTAGCTACTCAAGAGGCTGAGATCTGAGGATCACAGTTCAAAGACAGTCCTGGCAGGAAAGTCATGAGACTCTAATCTCCAATAAACCACTAGAAAACTGGAAGTGGCACTGTGGCTCAAGTGGTAGAGCACTTGCCTTGAGCTGAAGAACGCAGAGAGAGCGTTCAAGCCCCATGACCAACAACAAAAAAAAGGAAACAAACTAAATCAGGCTGGTAGAGACTGGAGTTCAGGAATAATATAATTTTTACAAAAATGGTTGAGTTATATTGGCCACATAATGAGAATGGGGTATATAAGAGATAAGAAAGCCAGACATGGTGGTAAATGCCTAAAATTCTAGCAGTGGAGATATAGAGGCAAGAGGTTAGATTAACTAAAGGAAGTCAGTTTGGTTTTTGTTAAATTATCAGACACCTAGAGTTTATGATACTGGTGATTTCATTATGAAATATATGAAACTTTGTTTAAGTGAAAACTCAGTAAAATAAATTTCTCAAAGAATTTCATATATATGTGCATTGGGTCAATTATAGAAGAGACACAATTCATCTTTGATTCACTAAGGCCTACTGATACTAGGCAGCCTACAGTGTGTCAGGTGTTTAGCTGTGTATAGTATGGTATAATTGAAACCATCACAGATAAACTATGGGATAACTATCTTTAGACTGTAGTCTTTACGTTTTTATAAAAAATCATATCTAATACCAGAACAGTAAGGGCTAGTGAGAACTTGATGAAGCTTAATAAGATGGGAAAATTGAATATTTCTTAAATCATGTTCTCTACTTTCTCCCTAGGATGTTAATGAAATCACAAAAAGGTATGTGTGCTATACCAGGATGGTCCTTTGTTTGGTGAGACAAGATTTATAGCTACTAGAATGATCTAACGGTCAATTAGAATATAACATCTTCCAGGCAAATTTGCTTACAATACTGTCTTTAAGTACTGGTTGCAAATCAAGATTTGGGTGCTTTTTGACTATTGAGGGATAAATTAGATCCTCTGGTAAGGAATCTGGGTTGAGAGGAATTAGAATGTGGGTCGGGAGTGGTATTGAGGATAAGGTGAGACAATAGCAGACTCTACTGTAAACATAATCATTTGCGATGGACCAGCTCGGCCGGAGCACTGGGACCGACGGGACAGGAATCTCGGGATAGGTAGGCAAGGAGTCGGCGAAGTGACAGACACAGACTCAAAAGAGTTGCATCTGTGTGTATCTTTATTGAGGAGAATTAACATTTTTATACAGAGTGTGATTGCGACATTGATTCTTTGTTTATTTAAGCACGTAATCAGTTTTTAAGAAAAGCAAAGCATTAATGGGTTACATGGAAATTGATGACTATCCCACCAACTGTTTAAGCTAAGTGGTGTGAAACAAGTCTAGCATATAGTTTAATAGAATGCGTCATCTATTCAGCCTTTTTATGTTTAATAATTAACAAACCTAAGACAGGGCTGTACTTATATTGTACTCTTTTTATTTTTTCCATACATTTTTAAGTCCCTTTGAAACCATCCTAAAAACCACTCCCAGGTTGACTCAGGCATTCTCTGTTTTCTATGATTTCGATCCCAATATTTTTTCACATGAATTTCTAATTGTTATTTTAAACTATCTTGTTGTTGTTTTGATAATAAACACCACAATGGTCTAGATCTACCTAATCTTTGCATAAAATCTAATGAATACCAAGATACCCTTTTTCCTTTTACATTAATCCATCTATTTCCATCTTTATAAACTCCTGTATAAGGCAATGGTTCATCGGTCGGCTCAGGAAATGTGATGCCACTAACTTTATATTTTGTGGGAAACCACTATCTATTCCCTATAACATAAGCTGGACCAAACTTAGTCATAACTGTTGGGGGAATCTTTCTGTTCCTTTTATTATCAGGGGTCCCTTTTTCTAGAACTCTCTGTGCTCCAGGGATAACTCCTTCTGGTTTAGTTTAAATCATTAATTCTGCCCGTTGCAACGTATCTGGAAATTTCAAATTTCTATATTTACTATGAGTGAGCCACAAAACTGCTTTCAAAAATGGAGGGGCATCTGGTGGCAGAGTCACGTCAGGCAACATTGTTTCAGGAACTTTGTTTACATCTAGTCTTTTGTTTTTGTTCTTCATTATTAGAAGAAGGCATAGTTACTGGACTGGAAAGGAACATTGTGCCTTTTCCATGGACCAAGAAGAGAACAATAAGGATAAAAATAGAGGCAATAAAGGTGCAGCCAAATGTATAGGAGGCCTTGAAGCAGCACCCTTCCTGAAGGCATGCTTCCTTGAAGCTTATGCTTTGCCTGGCCTGATCTCTCACGCAGACTCCACAGGAGGTGGCGTGGCAATCATTTATTCATCTTATGTGCCTATATTAGCCCTGGTCATAGATCTGACAGATGCTTTGTTTAATTTACATGGAACAAATCTTTGTTTTGTACCTAGAATTGCCAAACTTCCAATATGTTTGTATATTTCTCCTGAAAACAAATGACCAGTTACATATTTGTTCTCTTGACCTGTAGGAACAGGGTTTGGGCTCTGGTGCAAATGGTCCATTGGGCTCACAGACTTTAGACAAATGATGGAAGGTGTCCCTATTAAGGATGCACAGCCACCTGGCAGCATCACCATCTCTCCTCAGTCGTAGATTTCAGAGCAGCATTGTTTCTATGGTTGTTTTTTGTCGATCGTGGGGCTTGAACTCTGGGCCTGGGTGCTGGCCCCGAGCTCTTCAACTCAAGGCTAGTACTCTACCACTTGAGCCACAGTGCCACTTCTGGCTTTTTCTGCTTTTGTGGTGCTGAGGAATCGAACCCAGGGCCTCGTGCATGCGAGGCAAGCACACTACCACTGAGCCACCTTCCCAGCCCTGCTTCTGTGTTTCTGAACCCTCCTTTTCCAAACGTTTGTAATTTCTCCCAGAGAACCTGAAGGCTAAACTATTCTCTGAGAGCCTCTGTAATGGGCAACTGGCTTTGAAGGTCTTGGGTTTCTCCACATGTGATTTTTACACCTCCTGTGCCTGGAATATCCAGGAAGATCCAGGTTTTGCCAACATATTTTCTGCCTATTTTCCTAGGAACCAAGATTCATGGCAGTATGTATTTTTTTCTCCTAGGTATCCAAGTTTTGTTGTGATTTAAAAACCATGAGTGGGGCTGGTAAAGTAGCTTCAGGAAGTTTAATGTCTTCCCTATGTCCCACAGAAAGTACGCAGGAAGGTGAACATGAGTGATTTATTATGACTTCAGCCATAGTCTATCTTTTCTTTTCTCAGGACCCCAAGGTCGGTACATATAAGTGTCAGAAGGGTGAAAGAACAGGTAGGTTGGCGGCAATGAAGGTTATAAAGTCTGAGGTGTGGAAATTCATTCTTTTCATCCGTAGATGTGATATCTTGACAATGGAGAAGCCAATAACTTTCCCCAAGGAAGAACGGAGATTGTACCAAGCTCCCGACCTGACAGGAATGCTGCAAGAGTTTCAAGGTGAGGATAGCTGGGTGAGAGTCAGATTGTGGGAGTCTAGCTGTGGTGGGGGCTAAATGAGGAACAGTATGTGGCTGATGGATATGGAGGGTGGATGCTGTGTTGATGATGTGATCACATGTCATAGGGAATGGCCATTCACCCACTTACCATGTCATGACCCTGTCTTAGTTCCTCTCCTTCCCCTGACCTGGGCAAGAAATGGATTCCAGAAGACTTTTCCTTACATTTAATAGTATAAATTCTTGTCATTTCAGAGCTGACAGATGCCCACCGTTATTGGGGTAAGGAACAAAGTGTGTTACCATCTATCAGTGTTTGTTTTTCTGCTGGGTCTCATATTTTCAGACTCATATTTCTGTTGACTATATATGAAGAGAAGCTTTTGTTGTGGTCCACCTTTCCTTCTAACTTCAAAGTGCTTCCCAGTTCTCTGTTACATTCTTGTTATGAGTCTGCTTATAACATCATAAAAAAAAAAGCTACATTCTATCTCTCACTCAAACCTGTCATTTTTTTTTTCTACAGTTCATGTGACAATAAATGAGAACAATCATCGGGAAATGGTCATTTCTAAAGATCAGAGACAGATAAGATATAAAGAACACTATTATTTTTCAGACTCACGAGGTTTCCATGTAGGTCAACTTTACTCACCTGGGGCCCTGGGGCTCCCTTTGATCACATCAGGGAAACATTACTGGGAAGTAGATTTGTCTAAGAAAGCATCCTGGCTCCTGGGGTTAAGTGATGGAAGACACTTTACTGGGCCTAATAAATCATCCTGCTGCATGGGGTTACAAAGTGTTCAATACTTCTCTTCCGTGGCAAAATTTAACATTGAGAAAGAAAAACATTATCAACGCAAAAATGGCTACTGGATTATTGGGATGGAAAACAAATATGAATATATGGCTTTTGAGCCAAGTCCTACTACCTATAATTCCTTAACCTCGAAGTTCTTCCCACCTACTCCTTTGAAGCGTGTTGGGGTTTTTCTAGATTATGAAGCTGGCACGGTCTCATTTTATAATGTTACATACCATGGGCTTCTAATCTATAAATTCACCAAGTGTTGCTTTACCACTGAAGTCTTTCCATATTTCAACCCTTTACAATGTTCAGAACCCATGATGCTATGCTGATCAAACTCTGTGCATGGCCCCTGGCCCTCTTGTGTATTTTATGCATCTGAGCCCTTAGCTACACTTGAACCGTCTTTTCCTCCCAACTCCAGTCTATTTGATGCAAAGTCCTTCACTCATAAATGGTATGTACATCTTTCCTTGTGCTATATTCTTCCTGATATCTTGCTTGCTTGCAAGACAGTCTTATACCATCACTCCTAATAGTCCCAAGGAGAAATGACTGAATTCTCATTCAGGAAGAGCTGTATTGATGGAATACCCCTTTCAATTCTGTACAGCCCCTTTTCTCTCTGCTACTGACAGAAGATGGAGAATTGTTTCTGCTTTTGCAGACTATGTATAGGAGTCACTCCCTAAGGAGTAAGCCCTTAGCAGTGTCTTAGCTTTACCCTGGTACTTCTTATTAATCAAGAAGCTAAGAAGAAAGTGTCAAAATAGGCAGCTGGGTTTAATTTAGTCAAATCTCATATTTAGGCCAAAGTTACTGCCATCAAGTATTGTCCAGATCTGATAAGTACCTGGCTCATGTTTTTTTCTTTTCTACATTTAGATTTTTTTGTAATCCTAATATAGCCACTTATTGATCCCTATCAACTAAACTACATTGTATTCAGATGACCATTTGTATAAAAAAATACTGATAGCAGTAATGATGAAAAAGCTTAATTTATGCAGTATGGTAAAAATTTTAAAAAAGAGAATGTTCTTTGTCTGGCATAGAAGGAAGTAACTCAAATATGATGTCTATTAATTTTTGTCTTTTGTTCACTTTCATTAAGCTAAACATTAAAAATGTCTAACAGTTCATTTCCAAGATTATTACTTCATTTGTTTTGCAATAGAAAAATGAAGTCATTGTTTTTCTTTTGTTTTCAACTAATTGTAAATAAATCACTTAGTAAAATTCTTGCTCTTAAATTCATAGATGTCTGGAATTTTTTTGTGAGAGTTCTGCAAGTTTCTCATTGGAAAATTTTATATTTCTATAATGTGCATTGTGTACAGTGGTACAGCTAGAATCATAAGTACATTTTTGGGATTTCTCTGCAGTCATATTGTGCTGGTTAGCTTTAGGCTCCTGGAATAAAAGCACAAGGTAGTTGACAAGTGTGGAAGAAAAAGTCTGCTGTTTTCCTTTAGTATAATAGGTAAGGGGCTGGAATTCTTTTTTTTTTTTGTCTGTTGTGGGTCCTGAACTCTGGGCCTGGGCACTGTCCCTCAGCTCTTCAGCTCAAGGCTAGTGCTCTACCATTTGAGCCACAGTGCCACTTACGGCTTTTTCTGTTTATGTGGTGCTAAGGAATTGAACTGAGGGCTTCATGCATGCAAGGCAAGCACTCTACCACTGAGCTACCTTCCCAGCCCTGGAATTCTTTTTTGACATATTTGTTTCCAGTTTTAATTTATTTTATTTTTTTTGTCTGTTGTGGGTCCTGAACTCTGGGCCTGGGCGCTGTCCCTCAGCTCTTCAGCTCAAGGCTAGCGCTCTACCACTTGAGCCACAGAGCCATTTGCACCTTTTTCTGCTTATGTGGTGCTGAGGAATCCTCCCAGGGCCTCATGCATGCAAGGAAAGCGCTGTACCCCACTGAGCCACCTTCCCAGCCCTGGAATTCTTTTTTTTTTTTTTTTTTTGTTGGTCGTGGGGCTTGAACTCTGGGCCTGGGCGCTGTCCCTCAGCTCTTCAGCTCAAAGCGAGCGCTCTACCACTTGAGCTACAGCGCCACTTCCGGTTTTCTGGTGGTTTATTGGAGATAGGAGTCTCAGGGTCTCTCCTACCCGGGCTGGCTTTGAACCGCGATCCTCAGATCTCAGCCTCCTGAGTAGCTAGGATTACAGGCGTGAGCCACCAGCGCCTGGCTGGAATTCTTTTTTGACATATTTGTTTCCAGTTCTATTTTTTATTATAATAATAATATTGTGGGGCCGGAACTCTGGGTCTGGGCGCTGTCCCTCAGCTCTTCAGCTCCAGGCTAGTGTTCTATCACTTGAGCCACAAGGCCACTTCTGTTTTTTTCTGCTTATGTGGTACTGAGGAATTGAACCCAGGGTCTCATGCATGGAGGCAAGCACTCATCACTGATCCACCTTCCCAGCCCTTGTCTAATTCTCTGATGGATAAACATTGCATCAGCTTTTTTTTGTAGCCACCATTTGCACCTGAGTTTTGTAGCCACCTGAGTTTCACTAACTAGCCAATGTTGCTGGTGATGTGATTCCTTTGCTTTGATTGCTGTTCTAAAGATTTGGAACATAGGCAATTTTGCATCAGTGGCTATGGAGGGGTACAGAGGTGTGTGTGTGTGTGTGTGTGTGTGTGTGTGTGTGTGTGTGTGTGTGTGTGTGTGTGTGTGTGTGTGTGTGGATTTGGAACATAGGCAATTTTGCATTAGTGGCTATGGAGGGGTACAGAGGTGTGTGTGTATGTGTGTGTGTGTGGCAATTTCCTAATCCTCATCTACAGTTCAGATTTATCAAGGATTATTGATCATGGGCCTGTGAGAAAAGTTTGGATTGGAGGTATTTGTGTTGACAAAGAAGTTGACTAGATTACTGTCAATCACTAGAGTCAAGGTCATCAATGTCACTAAGTCCCTTCTTCCCAAATATTGTTTCATCCTTACCAGATTGCTGCAGTTTTACCACCGTGTGCTAACTCTTGAAACCTGTGCAGTCCAGGCCTGCCAGACTGCCAGTCACCACAATTCAGACAGATAGTCTCAGAAAGCCAACAGGAAACACACATCTATCCTACCATGTAATTTATGTGTACTGTCTATCCTATAATGCATGTTGCTTGCTTGTCACCCAAAATGTATGTTGTTATCATTATAACTCACTTAATGGAAGGTTATGCTGCTCTAAAACTCTCCTAAAATATAGTTATTTGTTTCTTTCTTCAACACAATCTAAGCTAGTGTTTATGAATTAAAAGAGAAATTAAGGGATGGTAGGGGAAATATAAAGGAAGGTGTAACAATGCTCGATAGGAAATGGACTCATTACCTTGCTCATGTAAATGTAACCCTCTTACAGTATCTTTACAATAAAATATATATTAAAAAAGAAAGTATTTGTTGTTGTAAATTAGCTTTGTTTTCTGCCCATTTTGTATTGTTTGTGTTGTAGTTTATATTGTTGATACCATTTCTGATTTATAAAATTGTCTTCTTTAATTTTAATTTTGTCAAGGTGATGTACAGACGGGTTATAGTTACATACGTAGTTGTCTTATAAACATAAGGTTTTGCAGGTTTTACAAAGCTTAAAAAGTGTTCAATTGTAGATAAGTTATTGTGGCTTAAAGAATTATGCCACTAAGAAAAAAGCTTCTAGATTTATTGAGCTTTGAGTTCTGCCTAAGCATGCTTGACAGGGCCAAACCAAATGATTTCGTGTACTTTATATGACCTGCACACTGAATGTCCCTATTCCTACCTAGAGTCTCAATTAAATCGCTTTGAGGTCCAATTAAGAGACTTACTGCTTTAATAATCATGAGTTTTGCAATGTAGAGGACTAACTACAAACCCCTTCTTGAGAATGCTCTAACATCAGCAGCCACCAAGACAGCAAGTAATAGTAGGAGCAGAAGCAGCCAAAGCACCCACATCCTGAGCAATGCCAGCAAAGCCCAGGTTAGGCCTGGACTCCATTCATACCAGCCTTCCCTGCATAGCACCCTAAACAGATCCCCACCTGGGCCAATGCTCCACCCTGCTATCCCATCCTTCTCTCCTCCCCAGAAAACGTATTCAAATCCTGCCTGGTGGCCTCTATTAATCAGAATTCTGTTCCCTCTGCTCTTGCAGAGGGAACAAATTCCTCCATAAGTCCCTCTGTTGCAGGGTCTCTGTTATGAAAACTTGAACCCAAGCCAGTGATCAGAAGTTTCTCTATATGGGGAAACCTATAATGCAAGAAGGATAACAGGATCATGCAGTGGGAGCTAATGGTGCTACTTAATAATGGTTAGAGCTGGGTGCTGGTGGCTCAAGCCTATAATCCTAGCTACTCAAGAGGCAGAGATTTGAGGATCGTGGTTCAAAGCCAGCCTGGGCAGGAAAGGCTGTGAGACTCTTATCTCCAATTAACCACCAGAAAACCAGAAGTGGCGCTGTGGCTCAAGTGGTAGAGCTCTCACCTTGAGCCAAAGAGCTGAGGGACAGCTCCCAGGCCAGAATTCAAGTCCCACCACTGACAAATAATATTAATAATAATAATTAGATTTGTGTACCTTGCTGTAGTTGGCTGGTTGGAGATAATATTCCTCTACTACATTGTTACTTAAACTGTATAAGCAAGAGCTCTTACTCATATGAGTAAGCCTGATTTGAATCATAACTACTGGGAATTAAAATCTCCCATTCAGTCTACAGCCTTGAGGAAACTTACAGACCCAAAATCTCTTGAAGGAGCTGGACACTACATTTCCAGTTAACTGGCAAAATGCAGGCTGGTGGTATGGCTGTAGCAGTAGAGAATCAGGTATGAGTAAATAAGTGCTAGAACTAGAAAAAGAAAAACACAAGAATCTAGAGAATGGGCTGGGAAGGTGGCTCAGTGGTAGAACGCTTGCCTTGCATGCCTGAGGCCCTGGGTTCGATTCCTCAGCACCACATAAGCAGAAAAAAAAAGCCGGAAGTGGCTTGTGGCTCAAGTGGTAGAGCGCTAGCCTTGAGCTGAAGAGCTGAGGTACAGCACCCAGGCCCCACAAGTGGACCCCCCCCCAAAAAAAGAATCTAGCGAACAAGACCTGAAACAACAGAAGGCAAGTGACCTGATTTAAGACTGCAGATTTTGCAGCATGATTAAATGGTATTTTCAATAGGCCTTGCTGAGTTAGAGTAGAAAAACAAACCTGTATTTCCTCTGACTTCCTTCATAAAACAAATAATTCTTTATAAACTGTAGAAATAATTGTGAAAGCCAAAATGCATAGCTTCCTTGTATTTGCAGTAAGCACAGTTTTGGAGGCAAGACACAAAATGTATCCCCACACACAAAAATACAGGTAGAATGAAATTAAATTTTGGGAGGTAATAGAAACTTCAGAAGATCGGACACTCCAGAAGAAGTAGGTTACTCAGGGTAGGCTTTTGAAGGGTATAGTTAGTGCCAATCACTTACCCTCTCTTTCCTTCCTGGTTCCCAAGAGACAAACAGCCTCTGGCACACACCACCACTGTCACAGCAGACTACCTCTTTCTATAATTCCAGAGACACAGAGCCAAGTGGCCATGGACTGAACTCTGAAAATACAAGTTTAAAGAATAAGTTCTGTCTTCCTTGAGTTGTATAGGTAAGGAATTTTGTCATGGCCACGGAAAGATGGCAAATTGCGGGAGGAAAACTGGAATCTTTGCCATAATAAAGTCCAGTATTGGCTGGTCTTCTAATGCTCACAGCTAAATATGCAATTCTCGCTCCAATAGGATGACAACATGGCTGCTGATGCCTCAACAAGATCTGGGAAGGCAGATTGTCTGGTAGGCAGAAGGTGGACTACACCTTGTGGGCATAGACAAAAGTTTGTAAGAATCACTATATGCTTATCTATGGCATACACACCAAGAAAGTTCATCTCAGTCAGTGAACAAAGAGTTAATCTTAGTTTTATGAGATAGAAAGATTACAAACAATAAACAAAGCACAAATGTTTAAGCATCAGGGAAGTGTCTAGGGGTTGTTCGTGAGGCCATTTGGAGGGCACAAGGAGCGCATTCCGCATGCCTTTGCTGAGGTCAGGGTGAGGCATCTGGACTGTTGCCCAGACTTTGGTTTTCTCCTTCTCCCTCCCCTCCCCC